ATTTATTTGACAGAGAGAGACACAGTGAGAGAGGCAACACAAGCAGGGGGAGTGGGAGAGGGAGAAGCAGGCTTCCCTCTGAGCAGGGAGCCCGATGCAGGGCTCGATCCCAGGACCCTGGGACCATGACCTGAGCCTAAGGCAGACGCTCAACCCGTGAGCCACCCAGACGCCCTTCAATTGAGGTATGTACCCACAGATTGTTTCCTTTTTGAGATCAGTTTTTGATACTTCCAATCATCATATGTGTAGTCAAATCACACTATAGTTAATGGATTTTAATGCTCATTGCATTAAGATTCTATACTGCAGTTTCCTTAATTTTGAATATGTCTTGAATTTTTAAAAGGAATACATGGTACGTGGATGGTATATTTTGAGCTCTTGAATATTTCAAAGTGTCCTTTGAAAAAGAAAAAAAAAAGACAAAACTTCTGTCCCTGACTCTTGGAACTCAACACACCTTTCAGAGTAAGCTGAATCCTGGCATAAGCCAGGTGGTAATAGGCATGGAGTGACTGAAAAGTGAAATCTCTTAAAGCTGTGATATGGAGGGTTGGTTATTGGGGTTATCCTGAAAGTGTGCTGATGGAATCGACTACAGTTAGGTCTTCAAATAGGAGTCCCTGCTAGAGGGACTAAGTAGTGATTCTGCAGATTCAGGGTACTCTACTCTCACACTGCTGTTCCACATAGCGTCAGGCATCCCCAAGACCATCCCAGATTCAGTGATTTGCTTGGATTCAGGACATAGGACTCAGCAGAAAGTTGTACTCACGGCTGAGATTTATTACGGCTAAACAATCAGCAAATGGAAAAGATACATGGAGCTAAGTCCTAGGGAAACCAGACACAAGCTTCCAGAGTCCTCCCTCAGTGGAGTCACACAGGACACACTTAATTACCCCAGTATGAGTTGTGACAACGCTTGTGAAGTGTTGCAAACCAGGGAAGTTTGTTAGGAACTGGTGTCATGTTTACTGGGGGCTGGTCATGTAGGCAGTCTCTGCTTGGCATGTACCCAAATTCCAGACTCCCAGAAGGAAAGCCAGGTATTCAGTATAAACCATACTGTTTGTATAAACAGGCATGATGAGCCCTTCATGAATTCTGAGAATGCTGGGAACCCTCCTGAAACCCAAGTTCCCAGCCAAGGTGTCAACCTTGTAAGCAAGCCTTTTGAAGGATAGCAGTGAGGCCTGCTATGTTCTGTTCTGCACATAGGGTTAGCAAAGCTGACATCTAAGCACAGAGTAACTGTGGAATAAGAATATCAAAGCACTTGAACATAGTAATAAAAAATAATAAAAAAAGAACAACAAAGCACATGTAAATGTTGATCCAGTATGAACAGACCAGTGACAGTCTTTTCCTTCCCCGATTTCCTAAACCTGGAAACTTCTATAGCACTAGAGCCAGAGAGTGTTTCAAGGAAGTAGGTTCTGAGCAAATAAATTTGGGAAACATGGCATTCCTGCTTTGCCCTCGGAGGGTCTACACATCTGCATATTAAACATTCTGGGGAAGTCTCTAATATGGAACACTGTTGACTTTTGTTTCACCCATTATTGCCCTTTTTTATTTTAGTGGGAAGTGTGCCCCCCCCCATTTAACATCCTCATTGGGGAAACCCTGTCCTACCCCATTGGTTGAGGTTACCTGACATTTCTGCAGGGAAGAGGAACTGACCTTTGGGATCTTTGGTATAAGCACTCTAGTCTGCTATATAAACATATGTCACATAAACTGTTGGAGTTCTTATTGCAAAGTGTGGCCTCATTTATTCTGAAAAATGTCCCGTTCGTATAAGCCCCATTCAGAACACCCTGGCAAGCACTACTGAATAGAGACATGAATTCTGACACACACACCAGTAAGCAGCCTCACAGAGAGAACACTGGTTAACGAGGCTCATATCTGGTATGTTGTTCATTAGCAGAGGCAACATTATGCTGTATATTTGCTAAGATAGGTAAAGTAGTAACTTAGTCATGGTTAGCATTTTGGGGTTATCCTTTTCCTGTAAAACTATAGATTTGTTTTGCTTCATAAGTAGCCTTTTTCTACATGCTTATAAAAGGTTCACTTATTTTTGCTAGGCTGTGTATAGTTTGGGTCTCCATTGATTTTACATGTAATACAGTGAGCCCTCTGACTAGAAGTTGTTACTTTTAAATTATGTTGTGAAGATGATCTGGCTGTGACATCTGTTACCGTATTGATCGCCAGGGTTGATTGGGCTGATCTGGCTGGCTAGGTTGGTGTCACCTTCCTCCCTGCTCGACATGTGTCCCTCCCTAAGCCGTGTGCTAGGTCGAAGCTGTATGCTAGGTTGGAGAGGATGACCTTCCCCTATAGAGGAGGGATAAAGAGGGCCTTTCTTCAGTCAAAGGTATACGAGTAGCTGCGCTCCCCTGCTAGAACCTCCAAACAAGCTCTCAAGGTCCATTTGTAGGAGGACGTGGGGTAGTCAAGCTTCTAAGACTCCAGACACATCTAAATGAGGTTGCTGCACATGGCTGTCTGCCTTTCTTAAAGAAGGGAGAGAGGGAGGTAGGGAAGAAGGAAGGGAAAGAGGGAGGGAGGGAGGGAAGGAGGGAGAAAGGAAGGAAGGGAGAAAGAATGGACAGACTAAGTTACCAGGCTGTTGTTGATAGTGACATACTGTGCTTTGGTTGCTGCAGTAGGTGAATAATAATGACACTTGACCTGCAAATTCCACAATTTACTTTGGGGCTTCATGTTCTTGTTCTGTGAACTTTTGAGGTTCTGTATCTCTGCAGTAATTTTCCTTAATATACAGCGCTAGGGGCACCTGGTGGCTCAGTCGGTTAAGCGTCTGCCTTCGGCTCAGGTCATGATCCTGGAGTGCCTCTCTCTCTTGATAAATAAAATCTTAAAAAAAAACTACAAGGACAAATTTGAGTTCCTAATGGTCAGTTATTGATATGCATTTAAAAAAATACTTAATAGAAGAGATTCAATGCAGTTCCCTTAAATATGTTCCTTCCTATCTTCCTTTCCTCTTGTCTCTCTCTTTTTTTTTTTTTTTAAAGATTTTATTTATTTGACAGAGAAAGACACAGCGAGAGAGGGAACACAAGCAGGGGGAGTGGGAGAGGGTGAAGCAGGCTTCCCGCAGAGCGGGGAGCCCGATGTGGAGCTCAGTACCAGGACGCTGGGATCATGACCTGAGCCAAAGGCAGACACTTAATGCCTGAGCCACCCAGGTGCCCCTCCTCTTGTCTCCTTTTTTGCTTTCTTCTCTCCAATCCACTCATACACCCATACACATAGCGCCTGCAGTGAGTACAGTGTTTTCTACTTGTTGCAATGAAGCATAAAAAAGAATAACACACAAATATGAGCCATAAGTTGATGATGGTCTAATAGAAATCATCAGAGATAGATATAAATAGCCACCATACAGAAGAATGTGAGTTAAATGCCAGAAAAGAAGCAGATAATTTATACGGGAAGTTCAGAGAAGGGGTCATGTGGCTTTAGGGCATTTGAATGACAAGGGATGGTATCACGAATATCTGTAGATCACGTGTGTGTAGGGTACAGTTGACTCTCCCCAAGATCATAATGACTGTGGATTAAGAATGTAAGCTTTGAAGTCACCTGAACCTTGCTTTGTATGGAGGCTCTGATTTTTGCTTGGGGGCATTAGGCACATTTCTTTGTCGAAGCCTCAGATTTTCTCATCTGAGAAATGGAGATCAGAATATCCATCCTCACTGGGTCTCTGTGCAAAATGACTACAGTGCATGGATAGCATTTGGTACGTGCTGTCTGGCAAGGAAAGCTGCAGTGATTGCTGCTCGTGGTGGTGGTGACACCCCTGTTGACAGGTGCTTTCAGATGCTGCCTTTCGCTGAGTGCGGAAGGCCAGCTGATGGCTTATCATGTATTTCTGTTTGTCACATATGGAGGGAACATTGTTATTCTATTCTTAGGCCAATTTGTATATTGAGAATATACAGTTATTGGGAAAACCAGGGTAAGTGATCCAATCTGATGATATTTCGTTGAATGCTGAATCCAATATCTGTAGCTAATAAAACATACTGTTTGTCACATTTTTTGCAAGTATGTGTGTATGTATTAGGTTTTGTGTGTATTTGTGTCGTATTTTCCAGGTTTGAAAGATAAATTGCTGATGAGATACTTTGTCACTTCTAGGAAGGCAGAAGCAGAAATGGGCTGTGGATCCAAGAAATACTGCGTGGAGTAATGACGATTCCAAGTTTGGCCAGAGGATGCTAGAGAAGATGGGGTGGTCTAAAGGAAAGGTACGTTGGAGAAGAGCAAAAGAAATTGGAGCCATGCAAAAAGGCAAATCAGGAGGATGCATCTTTCTTCGGAGACTGGGAGAAATTTATGTTTTAGATCAGTAAGTGATTTTGGAGAAATAACTAAATTGTAATGATAAAGTTAGAATTGAACATAGATGTCAATTCTCTTTATCATTTAAATTGCTGTGATTGGTGTTTTTCATAAATTGTACCTTTTAATTAGCTGCACTTAGAATCATACTTAACCATCATTGTTTTATATTGCTAATAGTAAAACTTTATTCCCCTTTATAGCTAAGAATACACATTTTTTCATTTTCCTCACACTCCATTTATTCCCAACTGACATAGGATTTCTCCTGATATCTTTGTATTTAAAGGGTTCTTGTGAGGGTCTTTAATGACCTTGTTGACAAATCCATTGGATCCTTTTCTGTTCTCATGTTACTCAGTTCCTTAGCAGCATTGGACATAATTGACTATTCTTGAAGTACTTCTGTCTCTGCTTCTACCATACTGCCCTCCTCTCTGTTTTTTCCTTCTCCCTCACTGGCCACTCCTAAATGTGTTGCTGGCTCTTCCTTCTCCAGGCTTTTGTGCTTTGGAGCTCCCCAGGGTTCAGCCCCAGGCTTTTTCTGTACTCTGCTCAGGTGAGCTCTTTCATTCCAGACCATGCTTGGAATTATCTGAATTCTGAGGACTTTTCTACATCTGGTCCAGAAATGTCCTCTGAGCTCCACAGTTGTAAATTCACCAGCCTGCTTGGCATTTCCACTTGAGTAAGCATCTCAGGTTTATCATTTTTGTTATAAAACTGTTGATCCACCCCCCCACCTTCCCCCAGCCCCGCCAGTCTTTTCCTTCTCAAGTCTTCCCCATTTTTGCAAATGGGCCTGCCTGGTTCCTGTACCTCTCTCACTTCTCGCCTCCCTGGTCATTACTCCTCTCCCCCCAAGGGCCCCATCCTGGGCCACACACCGTCCTCATCTCTTGCCCTGATCACTGCTGCAGCCTCACAGCTGCTTCCCTCCCTCCTTTTCTACCTCTGGGCCGTTTGCCAAACAACAGCCACAGTACCTTTTAAAGTACAGAAATTAGATTGTGGCATTCCCTTGCATAGAAGTTCAGTGGTTTCCCATTGTTTTAAAAAACTAAGTCCAAATTCCTACCATAATTTCCAAGGTCCTGTGAGGTCTGTCTCTTTTATATCATCTTATTTTCTCTTAGCGAACCTGGTTACCTTTTAGTTTCTTCAGTACAGCAACTTCTCTGGGACACCTTACACATGAGTGTTAATTGATGCAGGGGACTTGGTCTCCTCTCCCCACTTTCTCAGTGTTGTTTTATAAAATTATTTAATGGAGAGAGCCATAGAGTTGTAATATCGCTAATGAGCATCCATTAGTTTGGTGGTAGTGCTCTGATTTTGAGCATCACAGAAAGGCCTGTTCTTGGTAGTGTTTACATGGGCCATGAAGTGGGTGTCAGATTGAAGAAGTAGCATTCATTATTATGAGTGTATTGGTATTACAGACATTATAAGAATCCATTAGACTGTGTCCTCTTTGAGGGTAAGGATAGTGCCTCACTCCTGGATATTTAATAATTAATTGAATGGTTGATAAAGGAGGAAAGATGCGATCTGTCTTGATACTTGATAAAAATGTTAACTCTCTTTTGTTGATCTCCACAGGGTTTAGGGGCTCAGGAGCAAGGAGCCACAGATCATATTAAAGTTCAAGTTAAAAATAACCACCTGGGACTTGGAGCTACAATCAATAATGAAGTGAGCAACAGTGTGTCTACTGGGGGTTTTCCTTGCACGATTTGCTTTTTTATAAATATAAACATTTTAATCCAATCAAATTGATCAATTTTCAACTATTCAAGTGTGTATCCTCCATGGTGTGGTTAACTAAAGAGCCCATAACTAAGCGGGCTCTTCATCACATCACATGCCTTCACCTTGCCTTGTTGTCCTTATGGGATTCTTGACTTGCTTATGTCTAAGAGATCCAAATTAGTTTTATTGCTAAACTTTGAAAAAAATATTTTTTTATAGAATATTTATAATTTTGTACTCATTTCAGTACAGAAAGGCGTTTTCATCTTTACCTGTGTTCTGATATTTGCTTATGTTATTAAAAGTTGGTGGTGTTTAGTTTCAGAAAGAAACTAAGTTTTTTCTGCAAGAAAGTGGTGACCTTTATCTGTCCAGTTACCTGTTTCTGACTGTTGGTATTCAGTGGTTGAATTTATTCACATTTCCCCTTAAATACTGATGCTTTGAGAGATAGATGTATGGATACACTTAATTTTTTAGGAGAAGCATTGCCCAGTAAACCTATTTAATATGCCTTAACCTTCAGCATTCTTAAAAAGTGTGTATGGGGCAATTTCCTACATTGATACCTTGCTTCCCATTGGTTCAGATTGTTTTGGAGATACCCATTCTCTTTTAAAGTCTGATTGTTTTTGTTATAATGAATGTATTAGCACCACCTTACGAGGGTGCTAACTGATCCAGGGAACTTGGGAATCTTTCCTACTCCCTTCCTCAGTGTTGTTTTGTAAAATTGGGGTTGACGCGAGCAAATAGAATTGGGCAAAATATTTTCAGTGCAGAGGAGCAAAGAAGAGAGCCCTGAAGTCTGTCACTACTTTTTTCCCTTTAACCTACATAATATTCCCATAGTGAGAGAAAAATAATAATTTTATTTCCTTTATTTTAATATTTAGCACAAAGGTTGCCTGTTGATAATTTGATTATAAGTGGACTGTTGATAAGTTATCCACATTTGAAATCGGGACTTAATCTTCTAAGAAGTCCATTTTTAAAAATTTTTTTAAATTTTGAATTTTTGAATTTTGAATTTTTTAAAAGATTGATTTATTTATGAGAGAGTGTGTGTGTACACGGCAGGGTGGGTGAATGCAGAGGGAGAGAGAGAGTCTCAAGCAGACTCCCTGCTGTGTGTGGAGCCCTTCACGGGGCTCAGTCTCACAACGCTGATATCATGACCCAAGCAGAAATCAAGAGTTGGATGCTTAACCAGCTGAGCCACCCAGGCACCCCAAAGCCTATTTTTCATATTAATATAGATAAATTACATTTCAAATTTACATTATTTCTTCATTCAAATTTGTAACATAATATTTTGATGAAACATTTAAAATTTCACATTAACAACCAGATTTCCTTGATTCTAAAATATATCTTATCTCAACCAGTGTATGTAAACAACAGGCTTGCCTTTAATTGATTTTTTGGGTGTTTTCAGGATAACTGGATTGCTCATCAGGATGATTTTAACCAGCTTCTGGCTGAGCTGAACACTTGCCATGGGCAGGAAACAACAGGTAGGAAAAACCTTTGCTTTGTTATTCATTTGATTTATAGGAGAGATAATGTCTTAATTTAAAACATTTTTATTAACTCTTTTTACTGTAAGCATAATATATCTGAAAGTTAATTGATTGAAGCTCTTAAAAATAGTCCTTTCTGTATACATTTTAATGGTGCTCTCACCATTAAAAGCACACACTTTTTTCCTAGTGTTTGAGAATGGCAAGATAAATCCGTTCAGTTTACAACCTCAAATAGTAAAGTGATCTTTCCAGGGATCCTTGAGTGTTACTAAAAACTTGTTTTTAAAATATAAAACAAGAAAAAAAAATACAAAGCAAGAAATATCAAGTGGGGCCACAAACTAGCAGCCAGCAAAGGCTTAATAGAAAAGCCTTTTTGGTACTGATTCTGCCTAGTGAAATTTATTGTATTTTGAATATATGTCAGAAATTCAAAATGCTCAGGTATATAGTAAAATTTGTTACAAGGGCTCAGTACTAGAAATTGTATATCTAAGGCCTGGGAACTGAAAATGAAACAATTGAATATTGGGCATTCCATATTAAATTAACAGAAAATACTGCCGAGGGGAAGGGCATGGATGGTGTAGGCTCAAACTTATGGGTCTTTGGTCTAATTTTAGAGGTTAAGGTACGTTTTTGTCACATGGCTCTTTGGAAGGCAAGGACATAACTTCAGTTAATTGTGCTGGATAGTCATTGATGAAATCTAGACTGTTAGCTCTTCTGCAAACAAATTTCTAAAAAATAGTGGTAAAATATATATAACATAAAGTTAACCGTCTTAACCATTTTTAAGTGTACAGATCAGCAACATTAAGTGCATTCACACTGTTGTGCAACCACCGACACCATCCATCCATAAAACCTTTCATCTTGTAAAACTGAAACTCTTTCCCCATTAAATACTAACTCCCTATTCTTTCTCTCAAGCCTTGGCAGCCATTCTACTTTCGGTCTCTGAATTTGACTACTCTTAATACCTCATATAAGTGGAATCATACAGTATGTCCTTTTATGTCTGGATTATTGTACTTAACATAATGTTGTCAAGGTTCATCCATGTTGTACCATTTCCTTCCTTTTAAGGCTCAGTAGTATTTCATTGTATGTATAGACCACATTTTGTTTCTCATTCACCCTTCAGCGGACACTTGGGTTGTACTTATTGGCTATTGTAAATAATGCTGCTGTGAACATGAATGTATAAATGTCTCTTCAAGTCCTGCTTTCAGTTCTTTTGGATACATATCTAGAAGTGGGATTGCTGAATCTCATGGTAATGAGATTCTATTTTTAAGTTTTTGAGGAACTGCCATAGTATTTTCTATAATGGCTACACCATTTTACATTCCCACCAACGGTACACAAGGCTTCCAGTTTCTCCATATTCTTGCCAACACTTGTTATTTTCTGGGTTTTTGATTTTATGTGGTTTGCTTTTGTTTTGTTTTGTTTTGTTTTTGATAGCAGACATCCTGATGGGTGTGAGGCGATATCTCATGCTTTTGATTTGCATTTCCCTGGTGACTAGTTACGTTCAACATCTTTTCATATACTTGCTGGCTATTTCTGTTTTTGGAAAATTGTCTTCAATTCCTTTGCCCCTTTTAGAATTGGGTTTTTTTTGTTGTTGAGTTGTGTTTTGCAGACATTTTTATAAGGAATTTCTTTCTGTTCCCCATGCACAATATTTGGCTTGTAGTAAACTGTCAAAAGATGTTTGTTAAATTGAAGGAGGAAGAACTTCGTGGAATGAAATTAAAAAGTGCCAAGTTCAGCAAACATTTGTTGAGCTGTGTGCTGGATCCCGAGTTCGACGTGAGGATATGTAGATGTATGGGACGATCCCTACTTAGGAGGTAGCTAGCAGGATATGCCTGTAATTGGTAAAATTATAGTGTGAATCCAACTCTGGGAAGATTTATTGCAGTGCTGTGTATGGGACTGAGCCCAAAAGCATGAAGAGAAAGGTGCTGTGTTTGTATTTTCCCTAATTCCTTCTTGTTGGAATCTATAACTTGGACAGTTTTCCTTATCCGTGGGATAACTATTAGAACTATCCTAACAGTTCTGTATAAAAAGATATATGGTTCTTAATATAAAAGATGCTAATGTGTTAGCCAGAGAAAAACGTAAGGAAAATGTTTTATGAAAACACTACCTGGACTGGTGTTAGGAAGTGCAGGATATATGCAATAGTAAAACTCAAGGACCTTAGCCCTTACTAATTATAAAAAGAAACATCTTTATATTCAGGATTTCAGTTAAACTCAATAGAAACACAAATATGAATATAAACGTGATTGTATAAGACTTGTAGGTTTTGACTGAAGAGTAATAGAGTGTCATGGCTTGGAGATGAACACCAGAGCCAGATTGCCTGGATTTGAATCCTGATTCTGACGTCTCTGCCTGTGTAACCTTGAGTAAATTACTGAACATCTCTGTCCCTTCCTTCTTGGTGAAAGGGAGATAATAGTACATCCTCAGAAGGTGATTGTAAAAATTAAATATATTGCTATAACTAAAGTACTTTGAACACTGCCTAACCTATGGTAAGTACTTAATAAGTATTAGCTGCTGTAATCTTTATTATTGTTGTTATTTGTAGAGATAGAAGTCCAAAGTAGAATATTTCCTCTGAATATTTTTAGTAATTAGGATATAGTGCCACCAAGAAAGAGTGATACTTGTAGGTGAATGGATTTGGGCTTGATACTTAGGCTAGTCCTAGTTGTCATTAATGAAATCAAAGGCAATAATGTACTTTCTCCCCAGATTAAAAAAATAGAATGCTCTTAAGATAATGAACATTATAAAGAGCTGTACTTGTTGGCAGCAAGATATACATAAAGTTTGAGATCTTTATACGACTGATGGATGATCTCCAGTTATAGGGTAAAAAAAAAAGAAGATGAAAAACCATATGTACAGCATGCATCTGTAGAAAAATATAGAGAGGAAATGCGTGTGTGTGTGGTTGGGTATACATCAGTGGTTTTCAACTGGGGGTGATTTTGGCAATGTCTGGAGACATTTTTGGTTGTCACAACTGGGGTTGGGGGTACTTTTGGCATCTAGTAGATAGAGACGAGCGAAGCTGTTTAATATCTAAGGTGCACAGGGATGGTCCCCGATGACACAAAATTATCTGGCCCAAATATCAGTGGTGCTGAAGTTGATATACATAGGGTAGCTCCAAAATACTGTTGTGTGTATATTTTATGTATATAGAATACATACAATAAAATATATTTTACATACATAAAATCTACACATACATATATATACCTAAAATATCTGCAGAAAAATGCCCGAAAAACTGGTAAGACTAGTTGCGTCTAGGGAGGGAGCTGAGTGACAGAGGAAGAGGGTTTTTTGTGGGTGTTTTTTGTTTTTTGTTTTTAAGATTTTTTTTTTTTAATTTATTTGACAGAGACACAGTGAGAGAGGGAACACAAGCAGGGGGAGAGGCAGAGGGAGAAGCAGGCTTCCCGCAGAGCAGGGAGCCTGATGCAGGGCTCCATTCCAGGACCCTGGGATCATGACCTGAGCGGAAGGCAGATGCTTAACCGACTGAGCCATCCAGATGCCTCGGGGAAGAGGATTTTTACTGTAGTCCTTTTGTACCTTCATGACTATACCATGTGTGTTATGTCCTACTCAAAAAATTGTTTTAAAACTAATTTTAAAACTGTTTCTTGAGCCCATTTACCTCCACTTCCTGAAGCTTCTGCTCTTCTTTGCCACAAAACTCTAATTTTCTGTACAAATTGATTTCAGTTCTCCTATCCTCTCTTTTTAAAAACTTGTAACATGCCTTGAGCGAGTCTCAGATAGTCTGCTTAGTTGCTCTACCTCTCTTTTGCCTCTTCTAGTGTTGATGCTCAGCAGTGGCGAGGGGAGGGGGAGCCCCAAACATCAGACTCACTTCTCTGGATTTCCTTATCCTTAAGTGGGACTGTAATTCTCTGCTTTGCTCCACTGTAGTGTCTTTGAGCCATCCCCCCCCGGTCCCCCCCCAATATTTTGTTGTAGTTTTCTTGACAAGAGAGATTATTGAAATGAGCCAGTTCACCATTACTAGAAGCAGCACTCTGCCTAGAATATTTTTTTTAAATAAACTTCATTGAGGTATAATTTATATATAATACAATATACCCATTTTTGAGGGTATAGTTCCATGAGTTTTGACCAATGTATATACCTGTAATCGTAAGAACCTTGATAAAGAAATTTTCATCATTACAAAGAATTATCTTGGGTCACTTCCCAGTCGGTCCTCTGCTCCTCCCCACATCCCACCCTCCCACTTCATTCTCTGGCCCAGGCAACCACTGATCTCTCCGTATAGATTAGGTATTTTCTTTTCTGCCTGGCTTATTTTTCTCAGCACGATTCTGAGATTTATCCATGTTGCATTTATCAGTAGTTCATTTCATTTCTGGATAGTATGCTGTTGTATGAGTATGCCATAATTTGTTTATGCATTCACCTGGTGATGGACATTTCGGTTGTTTCCAGTTTTTGCCTACTGTACCCAAGGCTGCTATGAACATTCATGTATACTGTGTGGACATACATTTTCATTTCAGTAAGACCCTTGTGCGCATGCGGGCTTCCCCTCCTTATGCCATGTCCAGAAATTGCCTCTTGACAGAAAGCTGGGGCAGCCCTAGAGCTCACATCCTTTGTTACCCATCTGTCAAGGATGACAGTCCTGTGCTGCCTGTTGTCCAGTGTGTGATGAGTAGTTTCATATCTTTTGTTTTCCCAGTGTTTACAGTAGAGGGGCATGATCCATAGCACTTATCCTTTTGTGGGCAGAAGACAGGGAATCTTCCTCCTGTCTCTTCTAAACCCACTTCAGACTTTGCCTTACTGCTCCACAGAAACTGCCCTTGCCAAAGTCACCAGTGACTTCCACGTTACTAAGTCCACTGGGCATTTTTTAATCCTTGTCTTACTTTGCCTGTGGCACAGATGTT